AATGTGAAATTTTATGGAAACGTCAGCTCTGCTCGTATCATTGTGGGTAAATTCTACTACCAGTCCTTGTTCACCTTAAATGAAATGGAGTGGATATATCTAATGTTACTGATTTACTGGTTGTCTCGAAACTCTACTCAAACACGAAAAACATAGCTATTGTAATTGGCCAGTCACTAATTGAACCCAATTATTGTTAGGAGTATGAGCCATGAGCGGAAAGGAACCATTCGTCTTAAGTTGGAATGTCTGAAAGATTTAGTCCTTTGGTCTTCTCTCTAATAAATAATAGATTTACGGACGGAGATTATTTAGTCAACGACAGACAAGCAGTTATCTTTCCTCGTCAAAATTTTGCCTCTCCTAAAAAGATAAGCGATATGGCTGGAAAATGTGGAATTAAAAGTGTTATTAAGGATACCCTCGCCTTCTTTCAGAAAAAAGTATGATCTATTATCAAGATTCGGCTGCTAGTAGATTGTGTGCTCGTGTGGTCGACCTTTTGTTGGTGATACAAGCTAGTTTATTCGATAAAGATTAGGAGCACGAAAATGGCAACTTAATCCAACGGTCAGAAGTGGCCGAGTACATGGCAGATTGAACATGAGATAGAACGTTATAAAACGAATAGACTGCGGATTAGTTTTTCTACTGTCAAAAGTAAGATAAGGAGCTATTGAAATTAATAGACCGGGAAATATGTTGAATGTCAGGGCCGGTGGTAGAAGGTTTAGTAGGAATAACTTATACTTAATTAATAGGTTGAAGGAGAGGGTGTTGAGCCGCCATCCAAAAGGCGATTCAACTTTCTGCTCAGTGATGATTCCGATTTCATTCACATTAATCCCACATTAAATTAAACTCATCAACCGAACCAGACGAACGAGATTACACAGTCCCTGCCAGATTTAACCAGCCTCGCTCATGACTTTCTCTTGAGTCATTACGCTTTGATGATGAGAGCCTGACATTAGCCTTTTTGATAACTGATTTAGGACCATCATTGCGCATACAGGTTACTGAGAGAGTGGTGAGAGTAGCATGACCAATTTAAATTTAATTAGCCAAACTATTATTTATTCATCTATGTATGTTCATTTTCGTTTTCTCTTTATGGGTATATATGAGGTTATAGAGTCGTCTTCTTTGCCTACAATCAACGTGAGACTTACAAGTATAAATTCCAGTTCTTATGATATCCATCATATTAAGGACGAAAGCTCAGCCCGTTTTTACCCGAAGAGAGGGAGGATGTTTCGTAGGCTGTAAGCATGGACGTCGTATTTAAGACGAACGGCTACAATACGATGGGAATCAGCCGTTGCCTTTGGCGAGATTGACCTTCGAATCTTCTCGTGTACTTTCATATGAAATGAAAGTCTTTCAACTAAAGCAATTAAGTACAGCAATGGTGGTCGCTCAATAACTAGCCTTTATTCATCCATTATATCTCCAAAATTTATTTTGAATCATAAGTTGCATGATGTTAATATAGATCCGAAAGTTACCCATCAGATAAAAATAAGGAATAAAATGCTCAGAAAAGCGACATAAAAAGGGAAAAAACGATCCCATCAAAATGAGTCCATGTCGATGACAGGATAGGAGGCTACGAAAAGTCAAGGACTGGTTTGAATAGAAAAGGTGAGAGTTCGACGAATTTTATAAGACAGGCACTTGTATTGTAGGCGTTTAGCATGTTACCATTAAGTTAGACCCGGCTTCGAACCTCGGCAATGATGGGGCATAAAACAGTCCACTCAGGATAATAAACCTTTTAGTTGGCAAAGCAATGTGAAATTCATTTTTGTAATTAGGTACTGTCATTGCACTCAACATGTGACCTAAGATGTCTCGAAACTGTATCTATCATATTAGTTCTGAGTGGTCAAGAGATTTTAAATAAAAATGGAATAGTCGCGCTCAGGTGCTTAACCAACTTTAGTATTAACGACAAAGTCTGATTGAACTAGCAAAAAGTAGAATGATCAAAGCCCCTAGAAATGAGTCAAGACTCGAGCGTGAAAAAAAGTGTAATAATGGAAATAAACTTTTATTTACACAAAGTCTTCACATTTTTCTTTTTCCGGTGCTCTTCCTCTTTTCATTCCGAGGTCTAAAGAAGAAGGAAAACTGAAATTATGCTAAACGTGATTTTTCGCGAAACAAATAATAACATGGGGAAAATGAAGGGATGTGGTGAATAGGCCTTCTGCCTTTGGACTAGTGATGAGCAGGGAATAAGGCCGAGATCAGCAGATGACTTTAAAAATGAATTCAATATACCCAGAAAGGAAATGTTGCCCTAATCAAGAATGAAAAAATATGGGAAATAGGATTATCCCTGGGTGTTGCCAACATCGTATCCGTTATTGCAGGCGATGAAGCAAGGCCCTGCCAACTACCATAACTAAGGAGTCTCGGAGTTGCGGTCATATGCGGAAGCATGAGTGTGATATGAAACTAATCTTTAATCAGAGTGTGGTGAGTTAGACTTTCGCATGAAGGATCCTTTAACAATATAATTGCGTCAAAATGTATAAAGCAATCAGAAGGACAATGATAATGAACAAATGGAGCGGCTTACCGCCTTTTAAGGGTTTGGTCATAAAAGCTGTCATTGGGCTGTGATCCCTCTAATGCGTCGAAAACTCGAAAGTCACTGAGAGAGGATTCGCCACGTTGCCTCACTTCGTTCTGTCTACCAGGAGCCATTTTTACAGATTTATGTCGGCTCTGAGACAATCGAGACTCCACTGGCCGACCAGGCCTAAACTGTGTGCTATCCAGACCCACGTTGAGAGTGGATAAATCAGTACCATGACTGGCCAGTGCCGATTGCCAGTGATCCTCGGGCAATCGAGTCACAACGCATCCGGACAACTCCTCTAGACCGGCTGCAGTACTAGACTCCTCCTGGAGCAACTGGCGGACAAGCTGAGAGCGACGACTCTGCTCATCTACATTTAATGCTTGACCGATTAAAGGGACTCTGGAAGCAGAATCACTGGCTTGACTTGCCTTTGAATAACTCATATCCACATCTTTATTACCTCCGTCACCATCAGCATTGTCAAGGGTTTCGTTTGTCGAGCAGATGGAAAAGCTTCCATGTGGCTACCAGGTGTTAGATAAATAGCAAACGAGCATTTAGTGTTTAAGTAACTCTCATATTGTAGAGTAAGATAGTATGTTGATAAGATGACCAAAGAAAGGAGAGTCCGAATATAATTTTTTATTTAGAGACCATACAAAATATATCAGAACCTTGGCTCAGCAAACTAAGCCAAGTTGAAGCAACGAGGGTGATCGTGTGACACAAATTGTCAAACACAATTTCATAAAATAGAGTACGTTCGCTTAGCTGAGATGAGCCGGAGAATGAATCTGAAAAATGTCACGGAAGACGCAGGTTGTGGTAATATCTACCATGCAAATAAAACTAGGATGGACGAAGATGACTTCGCACACAAAACATAAAATGTAACAAGGACACATATTGGAACGTTTTTTAACATCTCATAGGCAATTTGCCAAATAAAGTATTAACTTAAGCAAGCCCGATTGAATTTAATGTCAGAAACGTGTGATTTAAAGCAAGATTGGACGAGCAGGGCAACAGAATGGTATGAACATATCTAATGGAAGAAATTATCTAACTCTAAATACAGCTTATAGACGGCCGACTGATATTTGTAAGATACGTCAAAATTAGTATATCATAGATTATTTTAACAAATGGAAGAAAAGCAAATTAAAAATCCTACCAGCTGAACGTACTAAAAAAACAGGATAAACAGTAATGCGATATAAAGCAAAATTTTATATTTCTAATAATTAATTGACTCAAAGTCTGGGTTAAGATAGGATAAATAGATAGGATGGTTATCATCATGCGACTGCCAACAATGAATTTGCCTTGGTATGCTCTCAGCAGCATTACACAACCCTTTCTTATGCATGGTGGATTGAGGTTTCGATCCCGCCTGATTCTAATCAGTATGGTGAAACAGGCTAATTTACATTACAACGAAACAAGTTAATATTGCATCACACTACAGGCGAAAATTGTTCCATGATTCAATTAAAAGTTGTTGAATTCTTAGAATAAATAATGATGTAGTATTTTGCAACCAAGTAAATATTCGGAAATTAAAAAATGTGCATATAATTAAAAATGAACCATATATTTTCATTTCATAAGATAGAAAGCCATGCAAATCTGATGGGGCCAATGCATCTCAATTTTAGAAATTATTTGACCTTATTTTCGCAACCTGGTCATATTGGTATGAAGACCTGGAGCACTCCTAGTCCTGAGTCCATAGTGCGCATGGCAATTTCCAGAATCGGACGGTGAATGTGGTACAAACCCAGACGCTTAGCCGGCATCGTCAATGAGTCCTGTCAGTCTTAGCATCACATTAGAACTATATGCGAAGAAAAGTTGGGTTTCGAGGAATGTCTTGTTTCATAATTGTTGAGCTTACTTCCATTTCGTGTGAAAGTGTTGGGTGAAGAAATTCAAGGTCGGTTCAACCAGAAGACTTGTTAGCTTGATTTTTGTTGTGACGATGATACCTTGCTCTGATGATGTTCGTCATATGACAGACAAAAGTTTAGCACCTTTTCACCGGGATCAAAGGAGATTATCTCGGAAACAGCGTCAGCATGAATCTTCCAGTAAAGACAATCGAGAGCTGGTCAAGAGGAGTCCGCCGTCGTCTTCTAGTGGAACCAACCTTCGAATCTCTTAACCCAACACTTTCACTCGAAATGGAAGCTGAAAATTACTAGTCAAAGAGACAAGTGAAGTGGATCCTCTGACCAATTGTCTGTTAAGAAATTATTGTATCTCTCCTTCTGTCATGGCTACTCACCAATCCCATATCCCCGTATCACCCCTTCACCATCCCAATTCGTTATGTAAATGTGGCATGGTGTCATTTTGAGCGTATTTAATGACTCTCTAAACCCCACGCTGGCTTTCTCACCTTCTCACCCTGCAATCCTCTTCTAGTAGGTCTTATCAGTCTCCCACTTGCCCCATAGTATCCGCCTCCTACTTTCTTGGTTCAGGTATTTTACTCCACCACCATCCTATCTGTACTATTCGAGGCGTA